CCTGTTCTTCCTCCCACCTATCCCCTCCTCCCACCTCAAGCCGCACCCCCATCTCCTACCTACTAACCTCATCCTGCCCCCTTGACCTGTCCGTCCTCCCTGGACTGACCTATCCCCTCTCTAACTCCCCACCTACACTCACCTTTACTGGCTCCATCCCCGCCTCTTCGGACTGTTTTTTTCCTCTCCACCTATCCTCTCCTCTATCCATCTTCTATCCGCCTCCCACTCTCTCCCCATTTATTTCAGAACCCCCTTACCCTCCCCCATTTCTGATGAAGGGTCTAGGCCCAAAATGTCAGCCTTTCTGCTCCTATGATGCTGCTTGGCCTGCTGTGTTCATCCAGCTCTGCACCTTGTTGTCTAGGAAAGACCAAGACCCCTGCATCAATTCTGTCAGTAATACATACTGACTCTCACTCGTTCACTCTCAAGAGCCAATTCAGAAACATCCATGATAAGGTTTAGAGAGAGGAGCACTCAACATGAACCAGAGCATGAGCAAACAGATGTAGCTGGAGGATGCAGCATAAGAAGACACATTTTTTAAATGAAGGCTATTTGTTCATAGGAAGTAGTTGTCACAGGCTAGGACATGATTTATTATCCATCTTGAATTGTCCTGGAGAGGGAGTTGGTGAGCTGCCTTCTTGAACCACTGCAGTTCATTTGGTGTAGGTATACCCGCAGTGCTGTTGGATGGAGATTCAGGATTTTGATGGAGTAACATAGAAAGAATGGCGATTTAGTTCCAAATCAGAGTAGTGAGTGGCTTGGGTGGGAAACTGCAGTGGTGTTGCCAAGCATTTGCTACCCTTTTTGGTGGTGGAGGTCACGGGTTTGGAATGTGCAGTTGAGTGAACCTTCATGAGTTATTGAAGGACCTCAGCGACATGGCTGCCACAGCGTGTTGATGGTGGAGAGCGTGAATGTCAGGGGTGATGGGTGAGGTACAAACACATGGATTGCTTTTATCTGAATGATGTCGAGATTCCTGTGTGTTGCTGGAGCTGCACCCATTGGGGCAGGTGGAGAGTATTCCATCACACTCCTGACTTGTGCTTTGCAGATGCTGGATTTTGGGAGTCAGGAGGTGAGTTACTGCAGAATTCCTAGCTTCTGACTGTTCTTGTAACCACAGTATTCATATGGCTGGCCCAGGTCAACTTCTAGCTGATTGGCTCATTGCATCTTAGCTGAATAGCCTGATGCTCCAGATTTCACTTCTCCTGTTGTAGATCATTAAAGCTACATGCAAGAATGTAGGACTGTCTTCAACATTGTCTGACAGGTGGTGTGTTAACTGGAGGACCACACTCTCTCAGCATTTCTACTACTGAAAGAGATAGTTTCTCAGCATAGCAATCCATCTGGGAGTATGCAATTACATCTTTCATAAATCTGGTCTTAGCGTCTGCTTATAGAAATGTGATTGTGTTGTGCCACCTCACTCTCACATCACAGTTCCCTTCATCCTGCAACAAAATATACTCCTGATCAATTTCTTCCCCACTATAACTCTACTTCCTCTTGAACTTTACATAAGGTAAGCATTGGTTTCTGCACAGGCATGGCAGGTACTAGGCAGATTACTGAAATAATGTTAAGTCTGGCCCAGGATCCAGATCTAGGTTAGATCCGGGCATGAAGTTGTGAAATTTCCCAGCTTTGTGAAATGTTCAAACTGTCTGCCCGGATGTCAGATCTTTGTGCCAGGATGTGGGCTGCATGTGGTGAGGAGAGTGCCAGGTGTGGAGGCAGTCTGCGTGGAAGGCCTGCCCTCTGGGAAGTGGCACCAAAATTCTGATCCCTAAGAAAGGAATTAAACAGAAAGTGCACTTCCAGCCTTCATCTCACCACACGCTCCTTACACCCCATCCATGCCAAGCCATTCTACCTCATGTGCTGCACTCACACCCGTAATCCCTCAGAACCTCCTTGTCAATCTAGGACCCTGTAACCTATTCTTAGCCCTTTGCAGCCCCTAAGTCAACACATTGCCAACCTAGGCCCTCCCCTCACCCAACACTACTTTAATGGCTTACAAAATCTACTTGAGTGGAGGCATGTAAATAGCCAATCTCTGTGAACCGTGTGTGCGCAAGTGATTCTCCCACATTCCTTCCCCCAGAAAAATGGGAAACACTGTATTTGGAAATGGAATTGAGTGGCTTTCGGTTGTGGCAAAATTCCACGTCCCAGCTTCCTGTTTTGGTCCCATGCTGCTAGTTAGATGCTCCATAATTGAGTTTTACCCAATTACTTCAGCAGCAGCCATTCTTGTTAAGGTTTTAAATGGCTTTCAGCAGTGCATTGATGTACACAATGGAAGATTGATAGTGTTTCAGTGATAGAGATGTCGAGATGAAAGGTACGTCTCCGACGTTCAGAGTGGCTTGTAACCAGGAAGCATTGCTCTTAACAATTCCTTCAGACTGTTGCTCTTTCTCCTGGTCTTAATGCAGTTCAGAATGCCTCTGGTTACATTTTCAGCAATAGAGTGCTATCCTTCCCAAATGCAGCCTTACCACACCAGCTTCCATCATTCTTCCGCCTTCTCTTCCTGGGAGCAAAGGTGACAGGGAATCTCCAATTGAAATTAAGCCAAGCTTAAATTATTCTTAGCAGATTGAGAAATTTTCCACACTTTCATACTTCACTGACGAAAAACTCATAAGATAAACTGTAATCAGTTGCAGTTCATTGCTGAAAACATTAGAATTGAGAAGAAACTTATTCTAGACTCTTGTTCAATGTACTATCACTCACGAGTATCATTAATACTTCTTTTTTATCCAGATCATCCCAGTCGTCTGCCTCAAACCAAACAAATGAAAATCCACGACTGCTTCGGCATTTCCTGACAGATCTTTATCTCATTGCTTTTTAAATCAGACATTTCCTTTTTTCAATCCTCATTGAGTGATTGACTGCCTCAATGCACAGTCCCTAGCTATTCTCATCATCCACTGACATGCGACCATTATCGCAGTGAGGTTAGAAACAATCAAGTTCGATCCTACAGTGATTTAAAACAGAAGTCACAATGGAAAAAACACTGATTGGTTCTCATTCACACCCTTACATCTTTTAAAAGTTAGAACACAGTTTAAAAGCAGGCTGCCAGGGCAGTGGGAATTATGGGATTTTAGTTTGGAAACATGTTAGCAGAAAATGAATAAATGTGAGAAATTGTTATTCCGTCACTTCTGCTTCTACCTTATGGTAATGCCATATTATTGTATCCTGACAACTTATTATGCAGTTTTTCAAAAAGTTAACATTCTAGATAGAATATATGTTTACATTTTGACTCGTGTCTAGCTGCTGACATTCCCCCAGTATGTCCTCAAGTTGCCATTTTTCAAGAGTGACCTTGGTCAGCAAGTTGTGGCAAGTTATATGAATACAGAGGGTTTTATAACCCCAGCTCCACATAATTCTGCCATTATCTGTCGTCTAGTGGGAAGAACTGGATTGAAATGAGCAATGGGAGGTCTCGCTGATTTTTCCCTTTACAGTCTGAATCACTGAGTTCAAATATTTTGGTCTACTGCTGTCCTGACAAAATCAATTAATTCAGATTGAGAATTGAATGTGTACAATATCCAATTATGAGCCACCAGCAAATCTTCTTAGAAGATACTTCTTCAAGCGATTTCTTGTGGGATTGCAAAGAGAGTGATTTTTTTGGGTGGATCAATAGTACTAAGAGAGAGATGGAGGAGGGGTAATCAAAACAGACAGACTGAGGGAAAAGGGGATTACAGAATGGTGACGATGGTGGAAAGAGAGGAGAGAGGGAGAGAAGAAGAATAGTGTATTATCAATAAGAAAATTGGGAAGTTGGATAAGATTGTGTCTTGTGAGGAGGATGCAAGGAGGTTTCAAGATGGTCTGGACATGTTGAGTGAGTGAGCAAACTCAAGGCAAATGATGTACAATTTGGGTAAATGTGAAGTTGTACACTTCAGTATGAAAACCAGAAAGGAAGACTATTATTTAAAGGGTGATATATTGGGAAGTGTGGATGTACGAAGGGACCTGGGTGTCTTTGTACACTAGTCAATGAAAGTAGACAGAAAGGTGCAGTAAGCAATTAGGGAGGCAAATGGTTTACTGGCCTTCATTGCAAGGCAATTTGAGTTCAGAAGTAAGGATGTCTTATTGCAGTTATACAGGGCCTTGGTGAGACCACACCTGGAGTATTACATGCAGTTTTGGCTTCCATACCTAAGAAAGTACATAGTTGGTTCACTAGGCTGACACCAGGGAAGACAGAACTGTCCGATGACCTGGGCATGTATTCACTGGAGTTTAGAAGGGTAAGAGAGGAGCTGATTGTAATGTATAAAATTCTAACAGGCTTGTCAGACTAAATGTAGAGAAGGTGTTTTCCCTGGCTGGGAGGGTCTCAAACCAGGGGACAGTTTCAGAATACAGGGTAGATTATTTAGGACTGGGTTGAGGAAAAGTTTCTTTACTCAAAGAGTAGTGAACCTATGGGATTCTCTACCACACAAAGGCTGTGGAGGTCAAGCCACTGAATATATTCAAGAAGGAGATACATAATGTTTTAGATTTTAAAGGCATGAAGGGGTATGGATAGAAAGTGGGAATGGGGTATTGAGGTTGAGGACCAGCCATGATCATGTTGAATGGTGGAGCAGGCTGAAGGGCTGAATAGCCTACTCCTGCTCCTAGTCTCTATGTCTCAATGTTAAAGGTCAGGGTAAAAGTGAGAGACAGAGCATTGAGGGAAGATAAGAGAGAAATGGCAAGAGTGGTGAGGTGATGTATTAGAGAGGGACATGGTTGGGGGAAATAGCTGATAATAGGAAAGGGGAAACTGCAGGTAAATGTTGACATTTTAAATAGTTTTTATTATCATCCAGGCCTATGAAATTTCAACACATTGAAACAGAATCTTACAATCGTATTGATTTCAATATGAAATAATGTTTGCATTATTATTACTTAATAGTGAATTAATTTCCTACCTTTGGTTTTCCGTTGATGGTGAAAGGTTCTGCCACGAAACCCAGTTGTTGCTTGAAAGATATTGTTCAAGTCTTCTTCCCAGAATTCTGGATCTAAATGCCTCAGAAGCTCTTCTATTGTCTCAAATCCAGCAATTGCCTCATCCAAGGACTCCACAGTCAGTGGTGAGGCAGTAGATGCTGAGCCATGCCATAATGGCCCCTGTATTGAGGAGTATAACCAAAGTATATTAAAGTATACCAACATCATTATTTAGTTTCAAAGCTGACAGCAGTGTTCCTAGCTATAGAATACCCTCTCGTGTCAAAATGTCTCCATGTTTCACATAATGATTTATTTCAAAGTTAGGCAATTGTTTTATAGACAAGTTGTAGCAACATAACTCTAAATGTTCTAATCACCTACATGCAAGATACACAATGCAGCAACAACATCTGTGTTCTTCTAATTAGTACCAACGTATTTATTGGTCAATTAATCACTGTTGGCAATAGTCTGTGGGCCAATGCTCAGTAATAACCACACATAAATCCATGTTTTAAAAAAATATACCATAATGGTCATGAATATTCATATTTGCACTCAAGTTAAGAACAAATCACCAAATAAACTCTTGTAATATCTTGAGGAAGGATTGTTTGCGTTTGTAATGTCATTAATATAATATGATGCCTCTAACTTGACTAGTAAGGTTAACATCAATCGGAAAGCGTATACAATTGATTAGTAAGGTGTTTTGAAAGGTCGGATTTTTTTTAAACCAGCAAAATATGTTGCCCGTGGAAAACGTATAATTCATTACACAATATCAGTAATTGCAGTAGCTGAACTTAGCTGTTGATTGTCCCTTTCCCTGGAAAAATAAATAATTAGCAGTTCATTCTTATATAATTACCAGGGCTGGCTGTACCTGTCCTGCATTTCTTTTTTGGGAATGTCAGGACATTCAGTTCCCATTAAACCAGCAGTTTGAAGCCTGCAGCTATTTGTATGAAAACACGAACAATACTGTATCTGTAAATTACTTTGAAGTTAGATCATTAATTCACAACGGCCTCCTGGCGTGAGAAATTCCCAGATGCCTTGGACAGCTTCTCCACTTGACCTCACTCAATATTGGAATGATTTCAGAATGATAGATGTTCAAAATGGCCTGCAATCTATTTCTATTTTGCACACGAGTTGAACTGATAATGCCGCAGTGAATCATGTTGTAAAACTGTCTTGTGAAAATTTACTTCACAAAGTGGATGAGATGAACAGCACTGACTTTGCCACACATATTGCACTAGTTCAGTGCATGAATGGTGAAATACAGAGTTAAGATCAATGACTCTTCCTCAGCTGTATATGTGGATTGCAATTTGGATGAGCCATGTCATCCTGGATTTATATCTTAACCTTTTCCAAAAGGCATTTGCACTGATATTATACCTGCGTTAAAGGCCAGTTAAACACAACTTCAATCGTTAGCAAACCTGAAGGAAAGTATTCATTCAAATTAATGCAACTATCTAACATAAACAAGGAGCACTATCCAGAACGAGAATAATTTTAGTTTAATTATATATCCAAGTTTCAGTTCGGGATTTTGAAAATCTTAAAAACATATGGGTTTTTTGATTTGATTGATTTATTGTCACATGGTTCTTGGTACAAAATACAGGGAAAAATGTTGCATAGTGTTGCCACTCTCCAGTGCCATCTTAAAACACAGAAAAATAAATCAAAACATAGAATATAAAAGGAGAAAAATTAAGAAATAAAGGAAAAGTGTTCAACTTTACAGTCCTTCTTGTTAAGTTTTCCGACATGGGCCATGGGCCTGGTGGCCAGGCACGAGCGCTGCCACGAGAACAAAAGTTGCTACTCTTTGGCGCCATCTCACCTCCACCTACGCCCCCCACCACTAGGAGTCGCTGGACCTTACAAATGCAGACACCGCTGATGCTGCCCGTTTCCACCCCAACTCGACTCCACCAACACCATGGGTCTGCTTCGCGCCCACCTTGCCAATGCAGCTGCTGCTGATGCCACCGGGTCTTGTACTGGGCCCAAACCCGCCTTCACCTCCTTGAATCTGCTGCAGCAGCTATGAGTCAGCGCTAGGACAGCCTCGGTGATGCAGAAGCTGCTGGGAACCCAAACCCGCCTCCGATGCCACCGCCATGAGTCCACACTGCAGGGCGTATTCGAGTGCGTGCTGTTGGGCCTACTCGCCGCCACCGATGCTGTGAGTGAACTCTTCACCAAGAAATAAGTAAATTAAAATAAAAGAAAAAAAAACTAGAGGAGAGAGAAAAAAGGAAAAGAATCGAAAAGAGGACGGAGCAGATGAGCTCTGGGCTGAGAAGCCTTACTCCATTGCTCTCTTGAATGCGCGTTTCAAAGTATTTTCAAGTACAATGTTTCGTACAATAATCTGTCTAAGTTTATTGCTATGTTGATACAATATTATTCTTCTACTGCATTCTGGCAAACATACAATCACTGTGCTGGACTGTCCTTTATAAATGCTACAAAACCAAAGCTCTGTCTGTGTTCCCGGTGTCTACTTGCAAACTCCATCACAGACTCAATTGACATGAATGGAGTTAGAAGGTAGCATTTCATTTTCCTTGAAATGACAGACACACACACACACACACACACACGCGCACACACACACACACACAGTCACTGGGTTCCCACCTTTGTTGCTACCACTCCAGAAAACCAGGAAGTCCACCAAAGCCTAGCCTCTTTTTGGGGTGTGAAGGACCATAGCAACACAGTAATCAATCACAGAATGGCCACATTTTACTCAGTATTGATTTTAATTATTCCAAGGTAACAATCCAAGCTGCAGTGCAAATGTTGAAAATGCAAATGTCCTTCTGTAATGGTGATGGGGGAGTCAAATGGTAAATTAAACTAGCCCTTTCTTGCACTTAATAACCAGAAACTAGTGCGTGGCATCTCTCCATCTTCTGAATGAATAACACCTCATACAGGGAAGAGTTAATAAGCAGAAAAGAAGTACAAAACTTAATGATGGTGTCTTAGAGGCCAAAACAAGATAAATTATAATGAGCAATGGTAGACAGTTTTTCAAGGCAGAAGACACAAAATGCTGCCAAACACAGTGCCAATTCAAGTGCTAATGTGATTGAGGAACTTAAAGTAATTTGAAGCAGGGGAGGAAAAGCATTAGAGAAATTAATGGGACTTAAAGCTAATACCTGGTCTTAATAGCTGGTTTCCAAGGTGGTAAAAGATGTGATATGTAGTGCTTTTGTGATCTTCCAAAATTCGCCAAATTCTAGAATTATCCCCAGTGGTTTGAAATGCTACCAATATAATTCTATTCAGGACAGGCGGCAGAGAGAAAACAGGAAACTATAAACCAGTTAGCCTATAAACCAGTCAGCCATTGGGAAAATGCTGTGATCTAATATTAAGTAGGTGTTAAGATTAAGCAAAATGTTGTATGATTTTGAGCTAACAGGGTAGTAAGAAAGAAAAATCATGCCTGACAATTCTATTAAAGTTTTCTGAGGATGTAATTGGCAGGGTAAGTAAAAGGCAACCAGTGGATGTTGCATATTTGGGGTTTCAAAAGGCATGGGCTGAATTTGGATTCAGAATTATGTGCTACGAAATCTGTTCTGAATCTATCTTATTTTAGTGCCTTGGTCCACCACAACACATGACTAGCACAGATTTAATGGGCCAGATAAACTCCTCTGACATAACTGTTCTATGATGGAGCATGTCTTCCATGCGAAGATGGGACTATGCTTTCGCAAGGTCTTCTTAATGGTCACTGCTAACATAGGCAGATGCAACTATAACAGATAAGACAGGTACAACAGAGAGTGAGGTCAAAACATAAAATGGAAATTGATGAGAAAACGCAGCAGATTTGGCAGTTTCTGCAGAAAGAAAACACAGTTAACATTTCAGGTCTACAGACCCTTCTTCAGAACTTCAGAATGAGATTAAGTTGGTTTTTCCCCTGTTGCTGGTTCTCTCACCACTTGCCACAGGCCCAGACTGGTAAAGAAAGACAAGCCAGTCTGCAGCAGAAGTTTTCTTTGTCCATTTCTGGCCTAAAGCATTGAGACTTTATGGAGTTCTGATCAATGCTGAGGACCCTTGGACCACTTCCTCCTGACTGTAAGTCACTGCGCTACACCTCCAGGATAGCAATGGTGATGGAGGAGACTGCAGCATTAAATGTAAAGTATGATTCATTGAAAATAAACATGACAAGAAACTTTGGTAGCTCTCTAACTGTTGGTGAGGAAGAATTTGCAGGTTCAATTAGACAGGATTTGTCTTTGTCATTTTTGATGGCCATGTCGATGTCATCCAACTTTCATTCAACTTTTCTTCGGATGTTTGATACAACTGAATATTTTGCTAGGCCACTTCAGAGGACTGTTAAGAATCATTCACATTTGTTGAGGCCCAAAGATAACAGACTAAGAAAGATACAAAGATGGCTATCGTAAGCACATATGAAAATGCACTAAATGTGGTGAGTAAAGTTAGTGAGCTACAAGTACTAATAGCAACGTGGGTGTGACTTTAAAACAGTGAAGGCTGAGCACTTAATACAAACAAATAAAATTAGAAAAGATAGGGAAAGGGAAAAAGGGAGGGAGGATAGCAATAATGATCAGGGAAATTATTACTGTGCTGGCAAAAAGGATATTCTTGTGGGAGTAAGAACAGAAACTATTTGATTCATGTGGAGGAACAAAAAGGATGTTATCATGCTACTAGGGATATTCTGTATCCTGCAAATTGCGAGAAAGATAATATAGGAGAAAATCACCATGAAGATTAGAGACATACAAGTACATAAAACGGTGATATTGAGAGACTTTAATTATCAAATCTTGATGGTAATAATGATAGAGAAAAGGGAACGGGGTGGGGGAAAGGAATCCTTCAACTGTGTTCAGGAGAACTTTTGTGACCAATGTGCTCTTGACTTGATTGGGCATGGGACATTTTTGAGCCTCACGCTGGGTACTGAGATAGACCAAATGAAGCAAATGTCTGTGGGAGCCAACCTGGGTAAGAGTGATCATTGTGTCATAAGGTTTAGGTTTGTCATGAAAAACAAAGCAAGGTAGAATCTAAAAGTAGAACATCTAAATTAGAAGAAGGCTAACGTCAATGGATTGATAGAGAATCTATCTGGGGTAAAATCGAACTGATGTTTGACAGGACAATCTGTAACAGAGCACTGGGAGATGTTTAAGGAGGAGATATTTCAGCTACAAGCTAGGTATGTTGAAACAAGTGGGGATGGGAAGGAGCCAAAGTTAAGGCTCCTTGTATGATGAAGGATAGAGAGAATATTGTAAAACAAATAAACAGAGTATATAATGCATGTCAGGTGAAATTCTTCAAGCAAGGAATAGGTTAAATATATTAAATGAAGAGGGGAAGAAGTGAAGCAGAAAATAAGAGAAAAGAAAGCATGCAAATAGAACAGCAGTTAAAACAAAAGCAGCCTCCCCCTCATCAGGTTCATGCCTAATTTTCTCATCAGATGGTGGTACTTGCTCCAGTAGATTCTCTGATGCCAGGGCCTGTCTTCTCTGGAGCACTGGGTTGTGCACAGCACTGCATGAGACAACTCGAGCAGGACGGTATTGAAGAGTACAACCTGACCAATCCAAACATCAAACTCTTATTTTGACCACAGCAATAGTCTGCTCAGTGATGGCCCTGGTGGAAGCGTGGCTCTTGTTGAACCTCCGCTCCATCTCAATGGGTGGATTTTGGATTAGCCTCATTAGCCGGGGGATAACCTTGTCACTCATTATCCCGGACTTCTGAAACCCTCTCCAGAAATGATGATGGTCAGGGGGCCACCAACTTCAGGATCTATACTACAGTGCAGGAAATTCACTTTACACCAATCTTCCAGATGGCCTTCTCTGACAAATCGGCTCAAAATGATAAATTATATTGCAAAACTAGCAATCTCAAGCACTTTTCCAAGTACACTGTTTTGCTAAAGTCAGCCATGGTCCTACTCCCATCCTTGTTATCTGCTCCTGCAATGCCTTGTAATACTTGGCAAGATTCCCTCTGAATGTTCTTCCAAGTGCACCCACTGAAAAATGGCACAGGCAAATAAAATACAAGCTCGTTGGCTTGTAAACAAGCTGCGTTGGCCTTTAATTAGTTTTGTTTTGAATGGCAAATTCACTGCCAATTTCACAGTGTACCTTTCATTTTATCGGAAACCAGCGTGATAACATCAAATTGTGACCTAACATCATCATTCCAGTTTTCATGTAAACATGTTTGGGGGACAAGGAGGCAGTGATCTAAGTTTCCAAACATAAAATTGACTCTCTGCCTTACCGACTCCAAAGATTTAGAGGCAAGATGTAAGGAGAACAAAATTTTACAGCACAGAAAATAATGAAAATGTTAATAAGATGCAGTTTAGAATACAAGGAAGTAGAAGTCATGCTTCAGTTAAACAAAACTGTGGTCAGATCCCACATGATTAGTTCTGCACACCACCCTTTAGGTAAGGTTACAGACTTTAGAGTCTGTCCAGTGTAACGAAACCCAACTAAATTGTAAGGAGAGATTAAACAATATGTCCCTGGAGTTTCGAAGCCTAAGGCACAATTTGATCAGAGGCTTCTGAAATATTTACAGGAACAGATAAGGCAAATAGAGAGAAACTATAAGTATGAAGGCTAGGACTTTGGTCAGAGAGTGCAACTTAAGAGCCAGGCTTTAGGGGAATGACACATGTCTACACGCAAAACATGGTGGATGTTAAGATCTTCCTTTCATAAATAGCAATAGATGATTGATTAATCATTATGTTTAAAAGTGAGAAGAATAGACTTATATTATCTTAACGACATTAAGGAATACTGTGGCTTTATAAGGTTAGGGAAAAGATCAGCCATAATCTGATTGAATGGTGAAACAGATTTGAGGGACCACCCCTGATCCTATCATAGAATCCATGGAAACAGGCCATTTGGCCCAACGAGTCTATCATTTAGCTATTTCTGAATTGTTAATTTATTAAATATTTTGTCACAAAACAAGGGTTAAAAATGACTTACCGATACAGAACTTGTTACCGCCTCCCAGTTTGGTTTTGAGGGCTGTGGCTGTAAATCGTCCTGAAACAAAACGAAACAATTGCCCATTGATCATCTTTCTTAACATAGTTGCAATAAAATTGTTCTTTGCAAGTTTCCTAATATGGGAGCCTATTCATAATACAGAACGTTAGCATTAAATTCATTAATGTCCCTCAAATGCTGTGATTTTGCAGCAGTGTTTGTGGCTTTCATTGTATAAAGGAAAAATGCTTGGTATTATTCACACCTGTAATGAGATCAATTTATAAAGAAAGGAGATCTGTTTTTGGCATATCTGAAACATTTCACAAAATGTGATGCTTTCAATTTTCTGGTTGGCAGCTGATATTTTGCTATACCGCAAGATGCAATATATACAATGTCAAAACCCTCCTTATTAGCAGTTTAAAGAGTTGTAAAATGAATGTTTAACAGTTTCATTTCAATAAAATTAGCTCTGAAGAGACTTGTTGTACCAGTGTCATTACATGCATGTGGACCATTACATTTATTATTAGTCTCAAATCGGTATAAAGTTTGACCTACATGTACAGTGTTGGACTGTCCTAGATATTTATTTGTATTGAATATGATGTTGGGTTAAATTTCAGAGGAAGAACCAGAATTGCCTGTGGGACTAGATGCCCATTAATGGAATGTTGCAATTTCCTCAGAGTTTGCCTCAGAACATTTTCCCACTCTCTCACAGCTAGTCCTTTAAAGGGAGGTGATGGCCTAGTGGTATTATCATTAGACTATTAATCCAGAGAGCGTTCTGGGGGTCTGGGTTCAAATCCTGCCTCAAGCAGCTGGTGGATTTTGAATTCAATTAAATATCTGGAATTGAGAATCTAATGATGAGCATGAATTGATTGTTGGGGAAAATCCCCTTTGGTTCACTAATGTCCTTTAGAGAAGGAAGCTGCCATCCTTATCTGGTCTGGCCTACATGTGACTCCAGATCACAGCACTATGGTTGATTCATAACTACCCTCTGAGCAATAAATGCTGTTGTAGCCAACAATGCCCTCATTGTGTTAATGGGAAAAAGGGTGCAAATATTTCATGGTTTCTTTTTCCTTTTCACAGATTTACTTTGTACCCACAGCCTGAACCAGCCTGTCGTCTACACTGTTTTACTGTGTTCAGACTCTCACTCATGAACACAATTCATGTAAGAGAATCTTCCTCTGGAACATGTCAATGACTATATCAAGAAAAAGCATGTTATGCTTGAAGAAGCCATAGCAAATGGATTTGTGTCGTTGATCATCCAGTTACTGTATTCTTCTCAGTTATTGGCAATTGCTCTGGGCTGTTTTTGTGCATCTTCTAGGCACCAAAACCAACTGGACCGCAGTTCAAATTTCCTCATGGACATCTAGAGTGTTGTGAACAGTTCTACAGATTATAGCCAACAAGTAACCAGACGTAATATTGCTCACCAAAACAGACCTTGTTGCCTCTGTTCCAAATGCATTCATCACTAACCTAGAGTATGTTACATCCCACTGACTGGACAGACTCACTTGAGGTAATAACATGGTGATATACAGTTGGAAGGCAACTTCTCAGAGTCATTGATCCCATGAATTTTCACCAACGGGTAAGGGAATGGGCAAGGAAACCTCCGGCAGATGAATACTTACCACCATCTTTAAACTAATGAATCAGTAGGCCTCTATGTTGGACACCACCTGGATGAAGTACTGACTGTAGAAAAGACATGAAACGCACTCTGTATGGGGACTTCAATGTCCATTATCAACAGTAGCTACGTAGGGCTGCTACTTAACAAACTATATTAGTTACAAATGTCTTTTTTAAAATTCATTCACAGAATGAGGGCATCGCTGGCTAGAACAACATTTATTGCCCATCCCTAATTGCCCAGAGGGCAATTATGAGTCAACCACATTGCTGTCGGTCTGGGGTCACATGTAGGCCAGACCAAATAAGAATGGCAGTTTCCTTCCCTGAAGGACATTAGTGAAACAGATGTTTTTTCTGACAATTGGCAATGGATTCGTAGTCATCATTAGACTCTTAATTCCAGATATTTTCCAGATCTGTTTTGGGGCCACTGCTGTTTGTCATTTTTATAAATGACCTGGATGAGGGCGCAGAAGGATGGGTTAGGAAATTTGCGGATGACACCAAAGTCAGTGGAGTTGTGGATAGTGCGGAAGGATGTTGCAGGTTACAGAGGGACATAGATAGGCTGCAGAGCTGGGCTGAGAGGTGGCAAATGGAGTTTAATGCGGAAAAGTGTGAGGTGATTCACTTTGGAAGGAGTAACAGGAATACAGAGTACTGGGCTAATGGTAAGATTCTTGGTAGTGTGAATGAGCAGACAGATCTCGGTGTCCATGTGCATAGATCACTGAAAGTTGCCACCCAGGTTGATAGCGTTGTTAAGAAGGCGTACAGTACATTAGGTCTTATTGGTAGAGGGATTGAGTTTTGGAGCCATGAGGTCATGTTGCAGCTGTACAAAACTCTGGTGCGGCCGCACTTGGAGTATTGCGTACAGTTCTGGTCACCGCATTATAGGAAGGATGTGGAAGCATTGGAAAGGGTGCAGAGGAGATTTACCAGGATGTTGCCTGGTATGGAGGGAAGGTCTTATGAGGAAAGGCTGAGGGTTTTGAGGCTGTTTTCGTTAGAGAGAAGAAGGTTAAGAGGTGACTTGATACAGACATACAAGATGATCACAGGATTAGATGGGGTGGACAGTGGGAGCCTTTTTCCTCGGATGGTGATGGCTAGCACGAGGGGACATAGCTTTAAATTGAGGGGTGATAGATATAGGACAGATGTCAGAGGTAGGTTCTTTACTCAGAGAGTAGTAAGGGCGTGGAATGCCCTGCCTGCAAAAATAGTAGACTCGCCCACTTTAAGGGCATTTAAATGGTCATTGGATAAACATATGGATGATAATGGAATAGTTTAGGTTAGATGGGCTTCAGATTGGTTTCACAGGTCGGCGCAACATCGAGGGCCGAAGGGCCTGTACTGCGCTATAATGTTCTATGTTCTATGTTCTATTTATTGAAATCAAATTCCACCATCTGCCATGGCAGTATTCGCATCCAGGTCCCCAGAACATTAACTGGATCTCTGGATTAACAGTTCAGCGATAATACTATTAGGCCATTGCCTCCCGTGATAGGGGAAGGCATACGGAAGGTGGTGGGAAAGCCAACAAGAGGGTAAAGCCTATGTGACCTTAGCTTCACGAACCTACATGCCACAGACACATCTTTCCATGACTGTGTCAACAGGAGTGGTCTTGATACAGCCCTTGTGGAAACAATGTCCTGTCCTAACATGATGGTGGAAGAGCCCTCAATGTAATGGGACACCACCATTGCGCTAAATGGGATAGATTTAAAAGAGATCTGGAAGCACAAAACTCAGCTTTGATGAAGCACTGTGGCTAACTGAACTAGTAGAATTGTGCTGCAGCCAATTTGGAATCTCAAGATCCTATAAATGCCACTCTTCATTCCCATCAAGACAGGCGATTCTGCTTCAATAAGGAGGATGGGAGGGTGTTTCAGGTCCAGCACTAGGTTTCCTAAAAATAAAGTGCCAATTGGATGAAGCTACAACTCAGGTCTAAACGTGTTCCAAACCACACACGCAGCATGTTAAAGGTAGGGCTAAGCGATCCTATGACCACAGGTAAGATCTAAATTCTGCAGCTCGCCTACATCCAGTCATAAATAGTGATGGGCAAATAGATGGACTACCTGCGGGAGAAGGTTCCACAAACATCCATATCCCCATTGATGGGGGATTCCAGCTCAAAGGACAAGGCTAAAGCAATTGCATCCATCTTCAACTGGAAATGCTGAAAGGATGATCCATCTTGGCCACCTTCTGAGGTCCCAACCATCACAGATTTCAGTCTTCAGCCAACTTGATTCACTCCATGTCATATCAAGATATGGCTGAAGGCATTAGGTACAAGAAAGGCTATGGTTCCTGATAACTTCTTAGCCAATAGGCTTAAAGCTGGAGCTTCAGAATTAGCTGCTTACTCAAATAAGCTGTTCTAGTACAGCTACAACAATGGTAACTACCTGATCAAGTGGAAAATTACTTGAGTAGATCCCTTATGAACGCATAAAGCTGGACAAGTTCAATTTAGCCAATTATTGCACCTTTCGTCTACATTCACTCATTGGCAAAGTGCTGAAAGGTGTGACTAACAGTGCTATCAAGTGACACTTACACAGCAAAAACCTGTTCACTGATGCTCAGTTTGACTTTTGACTGGGCCACTCAGATCCAGATCTTTTTAAAGCCATAATTAAAATACAGACAAAAGAGCTAAATTTCACAGGAGAGTGGAGAAGAATTAATTTTGACATGAAGGCAGCATCTGTGTGGTACCAAGGAGCGCTAGCAAAACTGAACTCAGTGGAAAACACGGGTCAGGATACTTCTTGTGTGTCCTGAAAGCAAGTTCCTTGAGGTCCAATTTATGGCTCCTTCTTCCTATGGGTGACTGTTGGCACCACGTTGTCTCTCTGAGGGGAAATGGCCTTATCCTACTCTCACTTTATCACTGATGCCGAGCACCTATGTTATAGTAATGGAATGCAGGACTGTGAACATATACAGTAGACGTTGAGTGCACTGGACCTGGCTCTTCATGGCAGTTAATTTCTCCATGGAGGCAGCCAGACACATGCACACAGAAGTCAGCAACGTACTGATGATGTTGGTGGATTCCTCATTCTTCAATGCAGTTTCCTCGCTGCCTCTGACAAACCTGCCTGATGTCCCTGTGACATGTCTTCTGTCTGAGGCTAGGTCAATGCCTGGTCTCCAGTTGAGTGCCAGAGGCCTCAACCAGTTGCGAGGTCACTGGTGACATACTCAGTGGATTGTGCTCCCAAGACTAATCTAGATAGAGAATCCACTGAACTGAATGTCTCTGAGCTAGTGGAGGATGCAGGTGAAAACCTTGCATCCTTGGTGGGTTGAATGGCTACTTCCTGAGAGGTTCAGGTGGAGCTGATCCTCTC